AATTCTCCAGCAGTCAACGATTGAGCATCATCAGGTCGGAGAACTCTTGGAAAGCCAATATCACGAAATAGTTCCTTGAGCGAGTTGCTCACTTCAGATTCTTTCTTCAAAGCGTAGCCACGGGCCCCCCATTGACAGGCAGCAGCATAGACAGCAACATATTTATTTCCTTCATCAGAAACACAGGGGCCTTGTTTGATATCGGCCCAAATATCAGCACGCAACCTAGGATATTCAAGTTGGACTTGAGTGGGGCAAAATTGTCTTGAGCCTTCGACTTTAGTCCAGTCCCGCAAAGCACGCTGGGTTGTTTTCTTGAGAGTACAGCGGGCACATTCAAGGCTGATTCGCCATCTTCGCGCAACTTGTTCAGGTTCAACCAAATAGCTGTTGCCAATTGTTTTAACACCATTGATGGTCGCCTCAACTCTGTCCCCAAAAGAAATAGGAAGAGCGAGTGGGCAAATAGAGCGGTAGTTGGGATCAGAGTGTTCAACAGAATGGATTTGTTGAGTTGCTATGTCCCCTTGATATTCACGTCGTAAATTTTGTTTGATGCAAGAGGATTCAGGATCATAAGGTTCCCAAGGGATGGAACTGGTCATTTCCACCGAAACATATTCATCAAGTTCAGACAGCACAGGTTTGCGACAAGCAAAGAAGCTTATAGGCTTCAGGAAGTCCATCGGGATATGTAACCCCAAGTTTTCATCAATAATTGAACATGAATATTGATTGCGATCATTCACAATTATACCAAAATCTCGAAGTTGATCCACACAAAGGAGACTACTTTTCATGGTTGGGATGTACAATGCTTGATCAAAGATCAAGATATACGTTTCAAGGGACAGAGGACAATCATAAGCAACTGCAACTTTCGCAACTTTAACGTTAGGCACACTGCCAAGCAAAGGATCAAAGCCTTTAACTGTCAAGGTATGAGGATACAGTCCAAACCAAAATTCTCAAACACGCAGTAGAAATACGTAAGAATAGTAGTCCACGTCACATAACAGGTCTAAGAAAGTACTTTGGCAAACTCCCCGTGTCATCGTGCAATTTCGTGGGTTTTGTACCAATCCATCAGAACAACAAATCGTCAATTTCATCATCAACCTTCCGACCCCTTGTTGACATCAACAAAACATCGGGCATCTCCACTTTTTTGCACAATTCGCTTCCTAACACATCACACTAGTATAATATCGAAAAAAGTGGAGATGCGAGATGAATCCAAACGGTCAAAATCCACCAAAAAGTATGATGAATTTGATTTCACTACGATGGTAAGCTTTGAGGCACTTGCAGTTATCACCGACTGCAAGAAAATTGATGCACAGCTGACAGTAGTTGTATCTTTACATAAGCTATCCTGTTTCTATGACGTGATCTGGCCTCGTTTTTTTCTTTGGTTCCCAAAATGACCACTGAAGCCCACCATCAACGTCCAAAACGAAGAATTATTATGGTTTTGGGAGCCCACGAAGTCTCAAGGCACCAAGTACTTGAAAATTCCAGCAGAGGTTGCTTCTGGCGTTATAATGGAGGTCTTGGAATCATCTGGTGGTCGATATCAAGGTTTCATTGTGCATATTCTCCATCGAGTTCATCAAGTGGCAAAATTCGTCAAAAACACATCTATGTCATGGCATGGGCCCCACAAGAAGAATAGGTGGATTCAGATGCTACGGCAGGCACTTTTGATATTTATACTACGCCATGAGCCATGATTCAATTTAGGTTTTACCCCAATCATGCCACAATCAACAAGCGTTGTTAGAATTGTTTCGGTCAGCCTGCCCTTTGGGGTCCACAGAGGGCCACACATGCAGAGATCGCCGAGCTTCAAGGTATATTATGGTATATTGGTATCTGATACAACGACAGAGCATTATTGGTTCACTTTCTTTGTTTAATTTGGAAAGATTTTGCGATTTCCTTCCTTTGTTCTGTCGGTTCTCTGCCGCTCTGGAGGTCCCCCTGGCCGCCATTTAGACAGCTATCCATCCAACAACACACCAGGGTCTTTCTTGGATGCCTAAAGTTTAGATTTTTTGGGACCAAGGCAATGATTCCTCCTAGATCAAGAATCATGTGGCCAAACTGGTGTCAAAAAAATGTAAGTTTGTTGAAATTTCTGGAATCGTCGAATTGTTGACCTAATTTCCTCAATCTTCTTTATTCTGGCCCATTTTATTAGTCCATGGGTATATTTAACAAGGTTTGGCACCTTGGAATGGGAGATTTCAAGGTGGAAGTGATTGAGCTGTAGCTACTTGACCTGGGGGGTCAATTCGGCATTCAATCCAGAATTTCCCAGGAATGTGTCCCAGTCGCCGTGTCGGTAACCAGACACGGTAGGACCACTACAAAAGTGACCAATATACCTATATGTATCGACTTTGGGTGTTTTTTTTCAATGGTGCGGCAGAAATGAGATTTGTTGGTCTGGTTTTCTGTTGACCCGTCCCAACATTGCAGGAGCCCTGATTGAATGATTCGAAATTCCATGTATTCTAGACCGAAATTTGCAACTTTTGTTGCGTATACCACTAGTCTACGTAGATTAAGCAATAATACATATTAAAATATCAAGATTTGTAATCAAGACCAGGTCTTATCGTAAAGATGGAGGCCTTGCCTCTTGTAGTATAATTTCGGTTGGATATGTAGTCGATTAGGTCAAACTGGTATCCGACTCGATCGATCATAGCGTTCTCTACCACGGCTACGGATTTTCCACGATATCCAGTCTGATCTTGGTTTGGACTGTAGGTTGCAAGAACCAAACAATTTTCGCCAAAGCACAAGTATCGGCGTGTGAGTCAAGCTCACATTGGGGCCCCAACCCTAATTGGGGCAAGGAGTGGGAAAGGGACATTGAAACACAAACATGAGAGGAAAGGGAACAAGTAACACAAATCTGATAGTCAGCCTCCGACAAACTCCGCTTCCAACATTGCCAGAAGAGGGTGCTGGAGCCGGTGTAGGTGCGGGTTCTTCATTTTGTTGGCGGTCACAATTTTGTTTACACAAAGTGTTCAATTCCGCAATGTCACGTTCACTCATAATACGACTGTTAGCACGTTCACGAGCTTGAAGGACAACAGGGCAATCACAATCAAAGAAACGGATCCAAGTGTCTTGGGAGTATCCACCGTTGTTGAGGATGGTCGTGCCATCATTGGACCATGCAGTACCATTGTGGTCTCAACTACCACCTCTTCCGCGACCTCTGCCATGCCCATGTTGATTACAATTACAATTACGATTACGGCCACCATTATCACGATCACAACCACGGCCACGTCCGCGATTGGAGTTTTGTCCGCCACCATCGACCGCAGCTAAGGCTCCTGTGCCGCTGATCGCAGTTCAGCAATGAGTTTGCTGGGCCGTATCTTCAGTCTGCAAAGTGTTGATAGCGGTGCGCAGGTTTTGCATTCACGCTTGACTTCCGCGGACAAGTGTCTTACAGGATTCCAAGCCTGCGCCCTGCGGACCTTCTTTGATCATGCTCAAGAACTTGGTTACCTTGGCATGTTCCGACATGCCGTCGCCACAATTTTTCAAGTCTTCAAAGGCACCAAGAACCCGTGCCGCAAATTTTTCAAAACAATTTTTTTTCTTTCCATTGTTGTGGGTTGTATTCAAGACACGGTAGGCAGAGTCGCGCCTCTTATTGAGTTGGCCCTCGCCCTGATAGTGGGCAACCAGATCAAGATACGCTTGCCTTCCATTTTCTGTAGTCTTGTATCCTTTGATAACAGGCCAATCATTGGTTCCATGGCAGACGGAATATAACATATTCCATACAGCTTTGTTATTAGCGACAAACGGGTCCTCTCAATGCAAGCTTCGGCAAATTGCCTCATCCTCCACAGATGGCATAAGGAAACCAGGATCAGCTCTTGGATTGTCGTCTGGATTTTGATGCTCACGGATTACATATGTTAACAAATTGCCACCTTTTCCACGATTGCGTTTCAACCACTGTTCCAAGCTCTCCATCAGTTTGACCGTATTTTTATTATCAAATTTGGGAGGCATAACCTCTGAAATATCCACATTTGTTTGACTTGTTCTTCAAGTGGGAATAATAGCGATTGATTTTTGCCAAATTCGCTTGCGTCCCAAAAGCTGGATCATGTTGGCAATCCACCATATAAATAAATTGGCAATAGTCACAAAGGTCGTAGAGCATGATTTTCTGGGCTTGGTTGATTGAAAACGTAGTGTCAGGATCATTTCCTGGATCAATCACAGTGCAATTGATTTGTTTCACCAAGGAATCAATATTGTCATGCGTTGAGCAGGCAAAGAAAGCAGGGGAACTGAGGCCCTGTTCAATAACAATTTCTTGTGCCTCATCCTGAGAGAAATTGAGAACATCTCAAATGTAGTTTCTCCATGTGATTCTCGCAGCGGCCATCGTTCAATGTCTTTCCTGTTGTTGTAAAAATAACACGGCACAAATTTCAATATTTTCGTTTTGCCAGGACCGTGTGGCAAATTCGGGCATTTAGCGAAACCGAAACCGCCAAACCCGACTATAGGTTGTGAAACACGCGCTAATTAGTGATGACGCGGTAAAACTGAAAACTGTTTTCAGACGGGGATATCCTGGAAATCCCGGGGAAAAAGGGAACTTTTAGGGAACTTTTAGGGAACCTTGAGAGAATTTTTGCGAAACAATATTCCCTCAAAAGACAAACTGCACTATAGTAGATGACTCTATTCAAAGGACGGCCATCCTCAATATCGTATTGAATCAAAACGAGAAAGTCAGTGTAAACGACTTCATGCTTGTCCATAGTATAACGAAAACGAGTTCCAATAGTGTCAAAACGTTTCAATCTCTCGTTGAATTTCTCCTGCCGCCAAGTTCTAGCCCAAATCTTGAACTCGAGAACTTTGGGGCTGTCGGTTTCTTGAATAATAGATGTGACCATCCAGTGAACGAAGACAAAGACCTTGTTCTGAACAAGACTTTTTGGCCGAATGTACGCCATTGCCTATCTGCTTGTAGACATGGTTTGGGTCCATGTTTTTGGTGATGTCTCTCCAGCACTGTCCTTGATAGGTTTCTTGGGCCCTTTTTTCACATTGCTGGTTCTCCAATCCTTCAACTACTATTGTCCAGCATTATCAGTCACTCAAGTATTCATTGTAGGCTATCGACAGTGAAGAGTGCCCTTGTTGATAGCATTGGATTGTCCAAAACCGATGCCAATGGCATAATAATAGTTCACAATTTGAAAAGTAACAATTTCTTTGCGAGATGGGAAAACAGGGATAGTATTTGGGGAGTCTCAATGAATCTCCCAAAAGTTTGGTAAAAAATTCTCTCAAGCTACCTAAAAGTTCCCTGAAAGTTCCCTGAAAGTGCCCTAAAAGTTCCCTAAAAGTTCCCTTTTTTCCCCCGGGATTTCCAGGATATCCCCGTGTGAAAACAGTTTTCAGTTTTACGCGTCATCATTAAAATTCGGTTTCGGTTTCGCTAAATGCCCGAATTTGCCACACGGTCCAGTTGTTTTCAGTTTCTGATCGGAGTCGTATAATGCAATTTTGCACAACAACGTCAGTGTGAGATCTTAATTAAAAGAATCGCACTACAAATAATTATATACATAGTATGGAGCAAGATATCCTGAGTACGTCTACCCATGTGACAAATTACTTGCAACCAAACAGTTTAAACGGTAACAAGTGGCCGTCTTCAGTCAACGCTCAAGACTGAAATGTAGCGACATGAAAACCACGGATCCTTTGACAATGGGCGATCCAACCTTTGCCGGTTGTCCACAAACTTTGGAGACCAGATATTATTTCAAAAAGCCTTCTCAAGCTTTAGCTCACAACAAAGATCAAACTGGGTTAGTCAGCCAAAACAGATCAACTACTGGACGAAATATAGACAAGGAAAACTTATGACTACCAGATCCTTTCAGACTACAAAACTAGACGTATGGAGGACAGACCACATACTTTCCAAAATAATGGGCAGGAAAAGAAAGGCAAAGGAGGTAAGACAACAATAGGAACAAGCAGAAATGGCAGCTGACAGTGCTGATCGCAGTATTGACAATAGAGAACAAGGCGAAGATGTAATTACCGATGGTTGAAGCACCAGGGATTTGGACAAAGACATGGGCGTTGATCATGGAAGCAACAAAAGAGACAAGCATACTAACTCTGTGATGCAATCAGGTAACGGCTCAGAAGAAGGCATAAACACGGTAATAGTGGCGGAGGTCAAAAGAACAATACTGGCTGGACAAGCAATAGACGATCTTGGCAACACAGAATTCCAAAGAAGAACTTATTCAATGGACCAACAACAGGTTATTGGTATCTGATTCATAGTATTTACTGTACTGGTGGTTTATAATAAAATTTTATAATAGCTATGCAGATACATTTGCCTGGAACGTTTATTTGGTACCGTACTTGTATGTTTGCTTGATTTGTTTGCCATAATATAGGTAGCCCATATGGCTAGAGAAAAATTCTGCCGCGATCTATTCTTGTTGTTCAGGTGCTGGCACTGCAACCAGAAATAGAAAATAGCACACAAATTGATTGATCTCATAAAAATTATCAAACTTGAATAAAAACTGATAAAAATCTGAACTGAAGATGCTGATTCAGTCTTCTGGATTTGAAGTAGACCGCAAATGGTTACCGACTTTTGAATCTGACCCGCAGAAGGCATGATGTGGTTACATGGCTGTGATGAAAGTGACATTGCGTGACTCACCACAACCAGAAGACCTGTTGGCCTGGCTTGACACAAATCACAGTACGTTGCTTGAGCTGTTGGACCACTGCCTTGTGCAAATGGTTGAAGTGGACAGGCATATAAGAAGGGGGGAAATAACCCATGTGCTAGACAACAAAATTGCCGGAAGGGGGTTCATACGCGACTTACTTGAGTTCTTAGCTGGTTGGGAAGAGTGTGACAGCAGAGTCAGAGATTGCCTGATCAGCAGTGGTTTTATGAACGACGCTGTCATTTGTCTGTGTTGAAAATATGCACAAGACTGCGTTGTTACCGCTAAAGTCATGGCAATTGCTTATTAGGTTTCAATGTCTCAGTGACTGGGTGGGTCATCCTACACAAAATGCCAATGCTGCAAAGTTCAAGGAAACAGCAAAGTTTTTTTGCCAGATCTGCATCGTTGGTTGCAAGGAAGACCAGTTGTTGGAAATCTTTTTGTCAACTGCTAGACATTTTGTGTTTGGCAACCATGTCGGATTTCCATATTGCTTCTCGGAGCTATATGCACAGTACCTGACGCTTGCATGGACTATCGTGTTTAATAAGATCAAAGCAATGAAATATACAAAAGAGAAGCTCCGTGCCTATTTGAAACTTTCCAAAAAGGAATTGCGACACAAGATCACAAGTGAGAGGCCTCAAAGTTGTCTTCAAGGTCGTGTCAGAGGAAGTTAAGAGAGAGAAAAAGGAAATACCAGCTGTGATTGGAGCACTTCTACAATGTATGCTAGCAAAAGAGAGTCTTGAGCGGAAGGACTATTTTCTTTGGAGCATTGTTGAGTATGTTGGTGGGCGTGATCCCCTGGAAAACGCGACCAATTGTCTCGGTCTCTGGTAGCCTACTCTATGGCCTTGGAAAATGGTTGGATCAACAACTCCAACCCATCCTCCAGAAACTACCTACTTATTTGTCAAGCTCGTTTGTACTCAAAACTGACATTTATAACATGGCACCGAGTCTTTTCACTGGTGATGTTGTGGCTGTATTGAAGAATTCCTGTCCACGTCCTCACTGTGTGAAAATGTTGACATCAACTCAGTCATGACAGCTTTACAACTTCTCATGACGAGAAACTGCTTTTGATTTGGAGACACCCACCTACTGGCTCCAGACTGATGGAACCGCAATGGACACACCACCAGCGCCCTCTTTTGCAACTCTCTACTACGGTATTTTTGAACTTGATCTTCTACAACGTTTTGGATGGTCACTACACTACCTACATCAATACATTGATGATCAACTCGGTATCTGGATCCACCATCCCAATCTAGATACCGATCGCCAACTCTGGGAAGAATTCAAAAATTGCCAAGACAACTATTGTTCCCTGAACTAGGAATCCTCTACTCTTTCTCACCCTCTCTGTCAAACATTTTCAAATCAGCACAAAACTGTACAAAAAGCCACTGAACCTACACCTATACATCGCTCCAAACTCCACTCACACCTCCTCAGTACATCTCGGCTTGGCTACCGGCGGGATCTTTTGCATTCTACGACTCACTTCTAAAGACGCAGACAAGAGAGCCTCCTTGTCAAAATTCCACTCCCATCTTGTCGCCCGCGCATACAAACTGAAGTTTCTTTGCTCTGCTTTCAAAAAGGCCCTACACCAATTCGCCAAAAGCCTAGACAAGATCCTTCCGCTACCTCAAACAATGGACTTTGCTTTCTCCACTTGCCGTTTCACAATCGCAACCCCACCTGCCAATCTATTCAGCAAGCCTTCTTGCAATACGACCGTTGTCCCTAACAAAGACCTTTGGCAGAGCCTGCAACCACAACCTTGCCAAACTCAAATTGTACAAAACCACTTGAGAAATGAGACTTGTTTGCACCCCACTCCCACTTGTGGTAACAACTCAGGTTGAACCACACTTATGGGAGCTCCGCAACTCAAGCAGAGTCCTTGTTCCAATTGAACAACTTATTGTTGCTTACAGCCTGCTGTTCTCACGCCATGTCAAATCAAAATGCCCGACAGCATGACCCGTATCAAGCATCCAACGTGAAATCTTGGATCCGCTTCCAAATACAGAGTCAAATTGATATCCATATTGGAATTCCTTGAACTTGGTTGCACAACAGCATGACCAAACTTTCAAACCACCATGTGTTCCACATGGTCCTGTTACAATCATGGCTGCAAACGGCAAATTATCCATGTTGGCTTGCTCTGTTGTATTGCAAACTTGAAAATCCCAATGCTCTTGCCTCTTGCCACACTTGTCTTACCGCTGATGAAGCCTTGGCAAAAGCTACTTTCACTTCAATAGCTTTGGTCAAGACTGGCCTTTTCTTTGATCATTCTCTACCTTAAAAAAAGGAACAACAATCCAGTTACAATCGTGGAATTGCGTCAGCAGATGGATGACCAATGCCACTTCTTTTGCAATTTTTTTCCTTGATGGTGCAGTATTGAATCTGCTAGCCTTCATCTTTTTGAGAAATTCTTCATGAGGAGGATATCCTTTGCCATATACCTCACCCTTACTTCCGTTCTGGATCAACTACCTTTTCACATGTGAGTTGACAATTGTCCAAGCTTGAGAGTTGTATTCAACAACTTCCAACAGCAGGTTTAAAGCAAATTCATGATTCTCTTTCAAGTAAATTGTGTATTTGTCCAGATCTGTCTTGTCATTGACTTTAGCAACAAAATTAGATCCGATCTCCATTATTCGCAATACATTTTCCATATAGGAGTAGTTGCAAGTGTTCAAAATCACTAGATCATGTTCGATTGGACAAGAAACGTTGTAGTGGAACAAATAGCATTGAGCTTGAAACAATCCAATTGTACAACTGTCAAAAGTAGGGGTATTACCCAACGTCTCATCTCCACCAATGATCCTTAACAATGTTAGATGATGCCTACAGCCCAAGCTGTTGGATATATTAGGATTTTTTAAGTACATATTTGGAGAAACGAGAAAAAGAGAATACATGTGAACAATAGAGAAATGATGTTGACTGATAGGACTAAAAATATCGCGCGTGGCGAGTCAGAAAAGACAATCTATTTCTATGGAAATCATCATGTTGATGATGTAAGAAAGCAAGATTCAAGCAAGAACCAAAGTTGGATACTAATCAAAGTACCGACTACTGTGGAAGATGAACGGATAAACAGATTGAACTTGCAGCATGTCAGGCTGACATAGAGAGAATTCTGAGAATTTCCACTGAGCTGGAGAAGAAAGAGTCAAAGTCAAAAGTTGACAGACTGTTCTCACTTTTTATAATATATTGCAAGCAACAAGTGAATTGGTTGATAAAGTAGGATCTCTGATAGATCTATATACTTCTATATACTGTAAATTCATATACTTAGAAGGCAACAATACCTGGACAGCTAAATCGCAGTCAATTGAACAGGTAGATTGCAGGCGGCAGTGGATCGCTTACTTCTAACATATATTATAAAAAGTCACTGAATTGAATTGGGAGTCGATATATTCCTACGACTTGAAAGAATAGGAACTTGCTCATGATGAGTGGACGATTTTCAAAATACTGGATGTGGTTCCAATGGAAGAAATGCTGGACGAGGAAGATCGCAGCAAGGCCGAGGTAATGGTCAATACAATGGAAATAAGAGTGGCAATGGTAGCCAGAAAGAGAAGAAGTTTCATCCTCTGACTAGAGGAAACATTCCCGAATTTAGCTTTGATGAAGTGAAGAAGACATTGGTGATTAAAATGTCAACGATGAAGATGGATCATATTGATGACATGATCCAGAATGTACGAACCTTAAGTCTGTTCGATATTGAAAGTGTGAAACCAACATTGGTGTTGGTGACTAATGACAGCGATCCTGATAAGGAGATCAAGAATGAAGAAAGAAGAACTAACTATTTGGCTTATCAAAAGGATTGGAAGGCCAGGAAGAATGCGTTTGATAACAATAAACGCAATGTCTATGGAATGATTATGAAGATGTGCACCGATCATATGGTGGACAAACTTGAGCGAGAAGCTGACTTTGATAACAAACTGTTCAATGATCCTGTGAAGTTATTGATGCCGATCAAGAAATTTATGAGGACTACTGTTGATACAGAATGGGAATATTTTGGTCTGTGGAAGACAATGAGCAATCTGATTAATTGCCATCAAAAGGAGAAGGAAAACATTGCCAGTTTTTGTAAACGATTTGAAGAAAGGGCGAAGGCATTACAAGCTTTGCTTGGTGATGATTTTTTGGACAAATTTACTGAGAAGAGTCAGGAATATGATTTATTGGGAAGCAATGCTGAACGATCCCAACACAAGAAGGAATCATGGAAAAAATTCATGGCCAACGGATTTCTGTATAATTCCGATAGAGCCAAGTATCAATCAAGAATTGATGGAATGACGGCGCAGTACACGTTGAAACATCTGGATTTCAAACAACGTTGTACATTTCCAACTACTTTGGAAAATGCTGCTGATGTTTTGAATCAACACAAGCACGATAACAGGAAGAAGAATTCGAATGGAGGAAATTCGAATGGACAAGGAAAACAAAACAAGTCAAACAACAATCAAAATGACGGAGCTCAGTTTTCGCAACAACAAACTCGAGCGTGTTTTGTGTGCGGATCAAAAGATCATGTCGCACCTCAATGTGCGGACAAATATAGGGATTATTCGGACGCAAATGGTCGTGGTAATCGACAGAATATGCAACGTGATGAAAATGCAACGCGTGATGATAATGAATCGGGAGATTCAAACACTCAATGGAACTATGGATGTTCCAACAATGGATCCCATGGAGGACAATTTATTCAACGAGGACATACTGACAATCATCCAAGACAACAAGGGATGATGTTATTCCAACACAACAATACTGGTATCCACTTGGATAGTGGATCTACTTTTCATTTGCGAACCAATGAAGATGACTTTAAAGAAGGAAGTCTACAAGGAATTCATGGAGGATTCCATTATGCCTCTATTGTCGAGGGAAGAGAACTTTATCGAGAAGCAATTGATAAGGTATTTGATTCTGTTTGTAAGCTTGATACACGAGCTAGTGACAACGTCAACAGCTTGTCGAATATGGTACAAGATGGATTTGATGTATTTATGGACACAAAGAGAGAGAACAGCTTCTTTGTGACTAGAAACGGGACTACATGGCGATTTGGAC